TGGATCGATATGCTGCCACGCCTCGTATCAGATTACAACGCGCGAAAGCATCGAACTATCGGTATGCGGCCCATCGATGTTACCTCTGCGATCGCCGACAGGCTCTTAATCACGGTATACAATCATATAAAGATTGCCGCACCCGCGCGATTCAAAGTGGGTGACTCAGTTTGCGTGAGCAAATTCAAGACAATCTTTAAGAAAGGATACACGTCAAATTGGACTACGGAGGTCTTTAAAATCATCAAAGTGCAACAAACTAATCCAGTGACGTATCTATTGGAAGATACTCGCGGAAAACCCATCGTTGGAGGATTCTACGAATACGAACTGCATCGCGTCGCTAATCCTGACATGTATCTCGTTGAAAAAGTGTTGCGCGAGAAGGGAAACGAGGTTTACGTAAAATGGTTGGGATTTGACAATTCACACAATTCATGGATTCATAAAGACAATGTATTATAAATTATACATTATATATTGTACATTATAGTATTATATATTCATTATAAATATATATATATAGTATATATTGTAACGTTGCAATTTCGCTGCAGCTCCGCAACGACCCTTCGCCGTCACAAAGCGCGGATTCGCGCCTGACCAGAGCCGGGACACGCGAGCGAGCGAAATCTCCAGGGGGCCGTATATTAGCGTTAAGTTCATTTTTTCTAATCCCCGGCGAATTTATTCCGTATGTAACCATTACGAAAACCTCGCCGAGCGAAGAAACCACCGGAGGGAAGACAACCACGGAAAAATCCCGCGGGCCGGAGACAGGCGGAGCGGAGCCGGCAAGCGCTTCCGGCCAGTGGAAGAAAGCAGCGGCTACCCCCGCCAAAGGATTTAGCGGCGCCCGAGCCCCAGGATAGTGCGAGGGACACATAACGAAAAGGATCCCGAGCATCCCAGCAAGCCAAATAACATCCGGCGAGCAGCAGGAGCTGACGTGAGGGCGATGCGCCCGGCCACGACATCGGCGCGGACGACCAGGGTTGGCCAGCAAGGGAGGCCTGCCCGGGAAAATTCGCGGGGCCGCGAGGCGCCCCGTAGCATATCGCCACGCACGTCCTTGCGCGCGAAGGACCGCTAGCCCGCTAATTGGTCGCGGCAACGCGCGACGCGGCTGGGCAACCTCGTAGGGGGGAAAGCTCACGAATTGATCGCGCATCGATTGCGATCCTGGTCGTCCTCTTCCGTTTTCGAGCTGCCCTAGCGAAAAGACGTCCCGGCCCGGCTAAGTTGTGGAAAAAGAAGAGAGGCCCCGTGAGGGAGGATCATCGGAGAATCAGGCTATCGGTGAGGTTGCCACTTGGGCGGAAATCGTGTAAAGTCGCATGCAACGGGGCAGAGTGTCGCTCTCGCATTCTGTCGTGGGCACGTGAATTTTGCGTTGGTGCGGCGGG